TATTTGTTTGCCAAGTAAATTAAGTTTGTTTGCTTCATTTTTTTCCAATTAATTTCTGATAAGTATAAGTTCCAAAAGATTTTCAGCAGAACTCTTCTATTTTAAGTGTTTGCACTATCAATAATGTTTTTTTTTTAACCACTCCTCATATATTTTTTGTTCAACTTATTTGAATTGTTGATAAGATGCAAATCAAAGGACAAAGTCTAAATTTTGACTGATTGCGCTAGCTATTGAAAGTGAGAAGTGTTATTTTGTAATCTAGTAAACGTTATAATTCTCTTTAAACATGAGACCTAATTTTCTGTGTTAAAATTTAGATTGCTGAATTTTCCTCTCCAACAAGAATATGTGTGCTGATAAACGGCGCAGTAACCCCGTTTCCCCATCCAGGGCGGAAGTTTGGTTTCTGATTCGAAATTTTATCGGCACACCAGAGAGCACAATACTCTGCTCTTTATATTAAAAGCTCTTCAACGCTGATTTCCCCGAAAGAATTCAAATTAGAAAACAACCCTGAGTGGACCGTAAAAAAAAAAGAATTTGACGATATTGCGCACCTTGTCCGTGAATTTTCTCAACGACGAACGGGTTTACGGCCGCGGGCAGAACGCCAGTTGTCGCTTCTTCTCTCGTTAGCTAACGAAATTAACATGAAACTCGGCGGCCGATTAAAAATAATCGAGAAACAAAGACAGCGAGGTGTGATACGAACGAGAAAGGTCGCAGCCGACAACTGCTTGCGACACCACCAGAGACCATACGCCGGGGCTCATCATGAAACAAATTCTTGCCTAACTTATTGTACTTGTCTTGTTGTGGCAATAAAACTTATTTGCATAAAAGGATAAAATGCTGACGTTGTATAATCAGTTTACATTGCACAGGTAAGGGTTTACACATTATTACAATTTAACATAAATGCATTTACAAAATGTGACTGCAAAAATATAATAATATATTGGTCAATATTGTTCAGATTTATATTCATTTAAACTTATAATAATAATGGAAACTTAAATGCAATGAAATATTTAAAATTAAAACGAAAATTAAAACGATAAAGTATTCAAATTTATGAACATAAAAATATTAATGATTGACAACTTTGAATCAAATAATTTTAAGAACCATATATTAATTGAAAACTTTCAAAATTATAGAAGTGAAGAACTCGGGCTTTTTCCTCATTAGCCCCAGTTCTTCACTTCCATGATTATCTCCTTAAGTGTCAATTTCTTGAAAAAAAAAAAAAAATTCAAAATTATATAAATATTTTAACATAAAATTTTATAAAAACTTATAAATATAGGATGAGTTCAACGAAGTACAAAATTAGAACCTCATTTATCAAGTTTAAAAGAGCGTTATGAATTCTAGGATTTTTTTATTAGAACATCCACATAAGGTTAATCAAGATAGTCCATGCATAGTTTTTTTTTCATTTTTAGATAATCCTCACAAACAATTGACAGACAGATGTTTGCCGGCAGCAATTATTCATTGGCAAATTAGACGCAGCACTTTCACTGCAGCGCCTGTCGTGCAGGAAAATTTCCAGCGCAAAGAGAGAAATCTTTCAAGGACTTTGTGTGTCGCTTCCAAATACGGATCGAGGGACTTTGCTGCTCGCATGTCATTTTATCTTATCGGCGTGTTTATCGCGACACCCGCGCAGACTCTCAAAGGCATCGCCGTTTTTACGACACACGCGGAATCGAGCAGAGTTCATATGCGAAAATCGTATTCAACGCGCGCTTCCTATAGGTTGCAGCAAAAAGTTCTTTTTAAATGTATTCGATTGCCAACAAGGTTCTTCCTGCTGGCGGCCAAAACTCTTCCGGCGGAGTGACCAACAGATTCGCCTTTTGATAGATGAGCAAACGACAAATTGTTAATGGAATTTGATTTGTAGATGAAATAAAATTGAGTTTTGTATGCCTCGAGACATTAAAAAATATTATTTATTAATTAATTATTTTAAGGTTTCGGCAGAAATGATTTGCAATTAAATAAAATTTTCAATAAAAATTAATAAATTCATGATACTAAATTTAATATCAATCCTCCTCGCTAGGTTTTTGAATCATTCGATCACATTTGATTTATTGTCTTCCGTTTTCTATGAAACAATAACCGACCATGAATGCAAACATCATGAATCATCCCTCCATTGCAACTCTTAGAAAAAAAGCATGTCAAGTAAAATCATAAGTTTAAATTTGCTAAAATTTCTTACTTCTATTGCAAATCAGAATTACCAAAATTTATTGCATTTAAAATAGCTACGTTTTTAAATTGTGAAGTTTAAACTCATTTTCTGTAGATTCTTGTATAAATCAGTCAAAAAAGCACCAATCGGAATATCATTTGTAAAATAGCAACGGGGCCACGTTTAAAGTAGCACTGCGCGCCATAACACTTTTTCCCTTTGAACTTTTGATTCCAAAAGCTACCCAAATAATCAAAGTTTGAGTTATGGGTTCATTGGTGCAACGTCCTCGAGCTTGTTGAGCGTCGTCGGTGCGTGGCGGGGAGGGCGTTGGTGGTGCGCGTGCGGGTCCTGGTGGCAGGCAACCCCGCACAGCACACCCTTGAGCCGCGCGGATCAATGAAAAGTGGAGAGTGCACAACGGCGGCACACTCGCTCGCCCGCCTAGCAACAAAACGCGACGGTGGCAAAGAAAGGAAAGACGGACCCGTGAGAAGAAACCCCGGCAAAAAATATAATTGGAAAAAAGGGACAGAGCAAAAAAGGATTCGTTCCTATCGCGAGTTGATGACCTGAGGAGAGAAGGAACTAAAGATTTTGTTTCTCTGAGAAAGAAAAAGGGGAATAAACTAATGCTGAGAATCCAGGGATAAACTTTACCAAACTTTCTTGAGCTAGAATTAAAATAATTAAAATTATGCCAAAAATTACCAATATTCATGACTTTTAATTTTTTAAATTCACTACGTTTTTAATGTTATTCCTTAAATATTTAACATCAAATAATTACTTAAGTTTCATTTGATGTTTTGCCCTCTTCCAAATCTCCAAGATTGATATTATTTTTGGGCTCTTATTAAAAATCAGATTTTAAGTTAGTAAATAAGCAAAATGCGGTTGTTGAAAGACGAAACCTGCATGCATTTATGACAACACGATCTGCTGCTGCTGCTGTAAATCATTCTCAGCCTACTTATATTCAAAATGCATCTCCACAAACGACTGGCATAAAAATAAACGCAGCTGAATTGCGGAATTTTTCTTCCTTCGCCAACTCGCAAACGCTGCACAAACGGGAAACAAAGTTTCAAACGAGAAATAAGAAAGAAAACAAACACGTGTGTGCTTTTGCTTCTTCTCATTATTTTTTCGCAAATTTCAAACTGCGCGTTTTCCCCTTGACAAGAATGAATTGTTATAAATATAGGAAATTTCTCCCTTCAAAAATGCCGAGACAAAATTCAGTGCGGGCAGCAATGATGCGTTTTATTTTTACCTTGAGTAATCAAGGTCTGCTATGGCGAGCGAGTAAAGTACATACTTTTATCGCCGGACGTGTGTTTTGATTGCCACGCAGTTATAAACAGTTAAATGCCATTTCAAAATATTAAAAAAAAAAAAATGAAATTTGAAAGGTTTGCAAATACGGAAGATAAATTGACTCCAATGAAATCAAATGATTTTTAACTAAACAATCTTGACACAAAATACAAAATAAAATTTTACCAAATAAAATAATTTAAATAATTACACAATTCACTAAAAATTACATCAAATTAATCATTGTATTTTAATATTAATTTCTTTAACCTATTGAAAGTTGATTTTATATTTAAATATAACGGTTAAAATTGTTAAATTTTACTACAGCTTACATACTTTAATTTAATCTCCCTATATCAGATAACAATTTTTTTAAATTTATAATTTAAATTTTAAATACACTTTTACGTGCCAAAATTTTACACCAAATGTAAAATAAAAAAATTTGGCATTTCAGATGTCACCATCGCCACTGCAAATAATCGCACACAATTTAAATTTGCTTTATTTTTTCCTCTGGTGATTCACATCAGCAGATAAGAGTAGCGTGGGCATGACACATTCGCCTAATAACTGCACCTTCTTTCTTTCTTTCTCACTCAACTACTCGCAAGGTCGTCTCGATTCGCATCACAATTTTCCTGTTATTGACCACCACGTCTTGGACTTAATCATTTTAAAATTCCCCACGCCTCCGAAGGCGAAATTTATTTCGTGCTCGATTTCGTGCCAAACGAAGGAAAATAAAGAAAGTTCTGGTCGCCGCCGGCGATAAGGAGGCCAAATATTTGAACTGTTTATTTCCTCTTTCATTAAAAGTAAATAATAACAGTCTGTCCGTGTCTACGTCGTCGGTCGCGGTGAACAAAAAGAACCATGAAAATCAGGTGATGACGCTGGTTTTCACTTTTTCTCCGAGTTACTTGCGTCACACCAACGAAGGGAAATTTCCTCAAGATTGGTGGCGTTGTGGGAAAATTTTAAATCGTTCACAAATGAATTTCCCGTGAATCAATCAAAATATTTTCAGACCTTGAATAAAAAATTTCAAAGTGGATTAAGCGACCAATTAATAGAGCCGCGGTTAACTTGGCAGCTGTTCAGCTAAAATTCCGCTCAGTGAATTATTTCGAACACTCGTTTCTCAAGCAGAACTTCTTTAAATTAAAGCGAACTTCCGGTCGAGGACAAAGATTTCATTTAAACGCATTTGAAATAAATTTCGAAAGTACCTCGGCTAATTATTAAAACTTAACTTGTGGTAAAATTGCAATTATCCATGCAGAACTGAAAGTCTAAATTTATACAATTAAAAAAGAAAATTAAAAGAAAAATTACTTAAGTGAAACGTTTGAATTAAAATTTGAAATTATTTAACCCTCGTCTGGAAATTTAATTTTATTTTCAGTGGCCCAGAATTTCAATTTTACAAAATTATAAAAAAAATTAGCAAAATTCTTCTTACGTTTTTGAAAAAGAAGTGGAACAGTGCGTTCCGCGTTCCGTTGGTTGTTGCTGCTGAAGCTGCTGTGCGATTTCTAAATAACTGTACGGGTTGGATGGAAAGGCAGCTGATGGGTCGGTCGTCACCACTCACTTCTTCTTCTAATCTATATTCTTCTCTTCGAAACGAAAGCAATCAAAAACGTAAAGGAAAGTCCACTCGCAGCGCGGTTGCGGCCTTCAGCCCATGAAACGGGTTTTCGGGACACTCGCGGTGAAAAATTCGGATGCGGCGGCACTCGAGGGACGGGCGTGCGGACGAGAGACCTGTGCACTTGCTTCTTGCTCACTCTACTGAACGTGAATTCTTGCAGCTAGTCCCACCGAGAGCCGCTGCCACACCAGAGCGAGCTGCCGACGTCCCGCGCCGCCACGCATGCGTGCCCACAACCCTTTTCCGACCGACCCAGCACCATCGAGCACCATCCAGCCGCCGGCGGTGCTCCTTGCAGATTGTTTTCAAGAGCGATCTAATTGAACAATGTTTCAAATTAAAAATTATATTAAAATGAAAATTATCTAAAAAAAAAATAAAAAGCCAGAAATCATTTTTATTTCTGAAAATTTCTTAAATAAATATTACCTACACTTTTGTAAAACTTTGACGAAATTTATTAGCAATTACACAATGAAAATTTTCAGAGTCAATTTATAAACGTTGAATAATAAATGTTGAGGAATTGAAGCATAAAGAAAAAAAATTTAAATTTTGTAACAAATTGGCAATCTATAGCGGACGTCGTTTTTTTTGTCTCAGATTACGCTTTATAAAAAAATCTTGCTGTTGATGGTGCCGTTTAGGCCAGCAATTCCATTTTCTTTGAAAAAATAAAACAAAAATGGAATGCAAACAATGAGATTTTAACAATGTAAGCTTAAATAAAAACAATATCTTTTTTTGTATGGGGCGTTTTAGCAGACATCTGCTAGTTGTAAACATTTTCTTCTCTTTTCAAATTTTAAATTTTTGTATTAATTGACATAAATATTAAATAATAATTATAGAACAGGGACAATTATTATTAAGCGCAAATAGAAGCATGCAAACCACATCACATAATATGCTCGGAATTTCAGCGGAAATATGAGACAGTAGGAATTTCACTTTTCTCCACTGCTCCAAGGCTCCAATTATGTAAAAGGAATTTGCCATTGTAAATTCCTCTTACGGCATTGGGGCCTATAGGAAGAAATTACATAATGTATTATTATGTGTATACGCGTTGTATAGGAATAGGAATGATGCAAGGGAGATAAACCACTGAAAAACATAAGGAAAAAGTGATCATTTAAATTTTATCATTAAAAGTTTTTGATCAAGTTAAATAAAAAAAAATAATAATAATAATCTGACTTCTTATGAATTTTTGCAAGGAGGATTAAGAAAAAACGCACACTTCAACCTTTTGCTAACCTCAACTTCTCCTCCCTTGTTGTGCAATGTGCACCCCTACTTCTTCCCCACCAGATGGTATAGCCAGAAGAAATAAACAAACCGAATTAGTGTCAATTTCGATTCCGTCTTTGATAAGTTGCAGTTTGCAGTTCTATTTTTGTCCAAAGTCTCCATTCAGAATTCAGAACTGCTGCATAAGCTTTCGTCGACTTGACGCGATCATCATTGCTAGCCTCTGGAATTCTGCTGGATGGTCACTTTTGATTCGGTTCCATTTGTCATTTTTATGCAGCTCATGGAAATCTCAAGCGCATCTCGGACTTCAATCAGAGACATAAAAGTAAGTGACGAGATTTTTTTTTTATAATTTGCTCTAGTCTGCGTTTCCCTTCTTGAGACGATCAGCAGATTCGAGCGTGCAGAAATCGACCTTGTTGTTTGCACTCTTGCTGATTTTATTTATCGGGTCGTAAGCGGTGCGAACCGACCAGAAGCAGAACTTCCAGCTGCTCTCTTTTGTGTACATAATTTGTGTCATTTTCGCACTCTCTGGCGACACAATGCAAACACGAGTCGAAGGAGAAAGATATGTGTGTATTGAGGTGCTCTGTTTTCTCGTTTTCGACGGGCTGTTTGCACAGCGGAGCTTGTTAAAATTAATTGTTGTCGCGGATTCGTTTGAAGACCGCCAATGTGCCTCGCCTGAAAGCAAATAGAGTAAACGGAGACATACTCTTATCAGGCTTTTATAGCCCGAAAAATAGTTTTAGCAAGGTTGACAACGCGCGCTTAATTGCTTACAATGAGCTCAAAAGTTGAAAATAATTACCTGTAATTATTAGCGAATTATTTTGAATGCATTTTTTTTTATCGAGTTTGCAATTGAAAATCAAATTGTTTAAATCTTATATCTGATTTTTATCAAAACAATTTTATTATGGGTTTCATTTTATTTTTAATTTTAAAAGTAAATTATCGTGTGTCCATATCAGCGAAATCATAGAAAGAAATTGCAATGTAGTGAACAAAGAATCAAATTTTAATTAGATTTTCTTAAAAAAATTATTTTGCTTGAAGAAAAACAAATTACCACATAAGTATTTATTTTACTATTGAAAACCAATTTAAATCATTGGTATTTCCTCACTAAATTAATTGAATTAATTTTTCCTCTCTGACCCTTATAATTTAACTTTTAACTAAACAAAAATCCTTCCTTATGATTATTATCTATGTGACCACTATTTGCAACCGTTACCGCACAAGAAAGAATTATTGGTGCCAATCCTTCCAATTGAGACCGGGGAATTGACGTCAGTGTGCTAGGCTGATATAATGCAACGATGGGACCGTCGCTCATTCATAATTCAAAAAATGAAATCACTGCGTCCGGCAAATTATTTACCAGATGGAAATGTCACCGACCATGCCATCCGTTTATTTTTGTTTGCACTTGATAAATTTTGGTTATGTAATCAATATTGTTGAGAAAAAACATGGATTGGAAAATTGCACAATTACTCAAACAAAGAACTTTAGTTAATGCCACCGTCCAGGAGCTGTTTGTTATTAAATTAAAAATTACTGTGTAAATGAAAAATTGTTGAAATGTGTTTATAATTACATAAAAAGAAAAGGGGCGTATTTTGATATTTTTTTAATTACTCATTTACATCATTCTTTTTGTCTTCTTAATTTTTGATTGCACTAAAGCACATTGTTAGAAACTTCATTTTATGATTGGCATGGTTACAGGAATCATTCATTTTGCAGCCACTAAATATTTGAGCTTGCGAGGCTCTTCGCAGAATCATGGATCAGTCGAGGGCGGCGATTATTAATTTTGCCTTCCTGGAATTTTCTGCGCTAGAATAACGGCGCCACTCTGCGAAATATTTCCCTCTATGCTCGTCTCTCTTTCCTCCCACGTACTGCGGCACAAACCAACTGGTTGGGGGTGGTCGAAGGGTGATTCCTAGAATGAACGCATAAAATTTCATTCACGCGCCTGCAGAATTTCCACCATTGATCGCTGCAGGCCACAGTCGATGCTGCGCTGGGGTAGGACAGAAGCTTGCGCGCTCGCACCCCGACCAACCCCGACGACCTTGCAGGCCAAGCACCCCTGCACACTTGCCAACTAACACAAACTAACACACTACATCAACCCCACTCGAAGAGATATTGCCGCCTTTTTTAACAAGTCAGAATAAAAAGAAAGTTTGTTCGAAAAGAGGATTCAATTTTAAAAATAAAAATTCAAGATGTAGAGCAGATAAATAATTTAAAATATTTTTTTGCTGTGGTATATCGAAGTTCCAACGGGATAAATTTTATTTAAATTCAATAAATATTTATATCAAATCGCCAACATAGGTATAAAATTACCCTTCGATTGGATTTTAAGCTTTCTTTTTTTGAATCCAAAATGTCATTTAGGGATTTTTGCAGCATCAAAAACTTACTAAAGCTTACTAAAAGAAATGAAAGCAATAAAATTTCAAAATTTTGCCATAAGTTAAATTTTTTAAGTGAATTATTAAAAAAAAAATCACTTTGAAAATTGCAAAATGCACAATGTTTCAAACATTAAACTTAAAAGCATAGATCAACAATAATAATTCTGAGCTTGAAAATGAATAAAATTTACTTCATTCATTTGTTAAATATTCACATATTTATGTGCACAGTTGTCCCGAATCTGCTGTTATATACTGTTTGTATAATATTAATTAAATAATCACTTGCTACACTGTTCAGAAAAATAAATAAGCATTTGTCTAATAGAATGAATTCATAGTCAGAAACGCTAATTATCACATTAAATTTGTGACTTCATTTGCGGTAGCGCTTTTATTATTTTCGCAACCACTGCAGGCAGACTTGCTAATTACGTTGTAAGACAATTACTCTGTACTGAAGTTATGCAACGCGGCAATCGCGTGACGCAAGCTAGTTGCATAAACACCGATCGGCAGGCGAAAAGTTGAACTTTATCGCGCAACCTTACTATCATTCTTTTCTCAAAGGATGTATTTTTAGCTCTGATTGATTTAATAAATATACTGAATCATATATTTGCAGAGGGTGTGTCTGCGTGTCAGAAATAACATTTCACAAATTTAACTTATCCGAAAACGCAAATTGCAGTAACTGCTCGGTCGTTTATTTCAAATGCTTGTATTACAAGGGGGATATCACTGCCGTATAACTATACCCATTTTTTCTATAAACCACGAGAACATGTGTTTTTTATTACACACACATGGTTATTTTCCGGCTGCACGGAAAATTACGTTTGAGACCGATTACAAATGCCAAGGACCGTCTCGTGAATCCATACAATTTCCACCTTTCGCGTGCGTCACTTCAAAGTTGTTTTCAACCTCTCTCGATTGAATTCTAATGAAAAACTATCAGGAAATAGAGTTGTTTTTCTCCTCCGTTGTGACGTACATGCTAATTTAATCGACGGCCCGAGATCAGAAAGTAAGCAATAGGGTGCTAAAATTTCTAATTTTAAATTGGTTAGGGTGACATTTGAGCAGCGAGAGAGACAAAGGGCTTTTGTTTTTCGGACGCGCATTATTTGGCGCACGACGGAGTATTTTTCTATTTTGGCTGACGCGCATCACAAACACACCTCACGTTCAATATCTTGACTCTCGCTGCACACTAGGCTTTATAACAATATTTAAAAAAATTATATAGATAAAAAAATTAATTTTATTTTCCCTTGAAATATTTTAACCAAATATTGAAGGTGATGCAAAGAACTGACCTATCTATAGCTGAACCTATTCTGAACTGAAATGGCGATTGTGAAATTATTATTCATTTAAAATAAAATAATCTCTAATTTCAGAAGCTTTTTATTATTAAATTTACGTTGTTGCTATTTATTTCGATAAC